TCAGCATTTATTCCATTTCATTCAAGGCTTTCCTTCATGTCTTTCCTTCTGTTTCTACTTAAAGGGCAGTGGACTTTCCTCTGGTGTTCTAACTACTGGCATGTTTTCAATTCTCCCCTCTCTCCAGTTCTTCTTTCATATATCCAAACATGTTTATTTCTGCATTTCAGTGTATTTCCCAAAGGTAGATTTGTACCCTTCTCCCCATCCTTATGATAACACATGGAGTTGCAGAATAAAATGATAATTTCTAAAAACTTGTTTTTAATACATGTTAGACACCAAACAATTTTTAAACAACTAAGCAATAAAAACTAGCTTCCTATCAATCCCGCAGAACGTGAAGGACACACATTTGTGTTGGCTTTTTAAAAAAGGGAACATCATCACTGTACTTCTGTAGGTTGAGTGTGGACTGTAATTCACTGGATTGAACAGGATGTGTCAATGACAGAAGATTAGGAGCTTTATTGGTAAGAAATGGGAATGTCTTTCCAGGATATTAATTATAATCTAAGTCCAGCTGTTTGCCTTTTGCTCCTCTTAATATTTTGAAAGAAATATGGGCAATATAAATTCCATTGAGTTATCAAGAGAGAATATTATAACACTAGATCGGGGTCAGCACATTGAAGCCCAGAGACCAGACCAGGCCTTCCTTCTGCTTTTGTCAGTACAGTTTTGTTGGAACACAGGGCATCCACTTGTTTACATACTGTCTGGCTGCTTTCATGCTATAGCAGCAGAATTGAGCAGACTGAAATATTTACCATCTGGTCTATTACAGTTTGTCAACCTCTGATACAGATATTCAGAGGTGGTGATATTTTTAAGCCTTTCTTTCCTAAAAAGAAAATGAATCAGTCAGTCAGCCTTGTTCATGAGTCTCAAGGATACACAAATTATAAGAGTTGTTGTTTTAAACTTATCACAACAGGGCAGATTGTGTACAAAAGAATGATCTCTGCCTAGAATTTACAAAGACATTCCATTTTACTCAACCAGTACAATAAAATGCTTCTCAAATAGAGTAAGCATATAATTTATCATTACTTTAGAAAGTAAAGGGGGCACTATTAATAATTATGCTGAAACAGCAAGTATAAACTAGGAGTGTTAAGGCAAACCAAGATGTATATTTACCCTAAAAGGGTACATCAGTGTACCAGATTCAATAAAATCATAATATGAAAGATAAATACACATGGCTTTAAGTTCAGTTCTTCTACTAAAGCATATTCATCTTCAGAATCCTTGTAATGGAATTTTAGCATAACTGTTAGGATACAAATGGATATTTCCAGTTCATATGGGGAGTTAACAGAAAATCTTTGGACCATCAGAAAATATTATGCAGTAATCATTACAGCTTTTGAAGAAAAAATTCAGCTTGAATAATTCTTGCTGTGATTGCCCACCTGGACAATAAGAAAGTAACGAATATAAGTTATCTTATTACTGACACTTTTACTTGTGTCCCAAAAGATTGGCAAGCTATAAAAGAATTGCTTTGAACTTTTTGTCATCTTCTTCAAGGACAGTGTCCTCAGATTGCCCTGTTCCATACTAGCATGATGTGGAGAAGGAAGATGGAGACAACCAAGAGTACAAAGATCCTAAGGGTCATTGTTCAATATCAAGATCTTAAATATTTATCCTCTCTAAACAACTAAACAACTCTAAAGCAAAAATATTCATCGTCCATGACCATTATTCTGCTTTGTTAATATTTTGCAGGAAGATCCCTAATCGAGGATTCATTTTACCCTCAGAAAAGTAATAGAAGATATTGTAAACTGCCATGTATTTTGTAATCTTTAAAGGTATCCTCTCATACTTCTATTCAATGTACGTATGGTTAAAGAAACTTAGTATGTACCTCTTATGTTTGAAGTTTCTAATAGTATTCATAACAACTAACATTTGTATGGTGCTTCATCTTTTACAAAATACTTTCAAATATATTCTCCTACCAAATTTTCACTATATACCAATAAGTCAGTAATGCATGATTATTATTACCTGTTTCTTTTGAATAAAACTAAGGCTCAGAGAGATTAAAGGACTTGTGCAAAGTGACATAGCCAATAATTACTACTACCAGGGTTGGTCTAGACCTTTGAACTCCAAGTCCTAGGCAACTTAACCATATTGTCTTCTAACTTGTTATAAAGTAGTAATGTTATTAATAACTGTGAAAAAAAATGAAAATGTCCTTGACCTATTGGAGAAGAGGCCAAAACAAGCATGAACCTTATTGCAGGTTAGTTACAAATACTAAAGGAAAACTATAGGTATTACAGTTAAATGTTAACTACCCTTGTGGTTTTAGTATAATCGAAGTCGAAAGGGATGAAAAGAAGCTTAACATATAAGTGGTTAATAAATATACAGTAGGCTAGATGCAGTGGCTCATGTCTGTAATCCTAGCACTTTGGTAGGCCAAGATGGGTGGACTGCTTGAGCCCAGGAGTTTGAGACCAGCTTGGGCAGCATGGTGATACCTCATCTCTACAAAACAAAAACAAAAACAAAAATTAGCTGGCTGTGCTAGAGCACACCTGTGATCCCAACCACTACTTGGGAGGCTGAGGTAAGAGTAGCTGGGACCTAGTCTGGGAGCCTGGGAAGTCAAGGCTGCAGTAAGCCGAGATCATGCAGTGGTACTCCAGCCTGTGCAACAGAGTAAAACCTTGCTCAAAAAAAAAAGAAAAAAAAAAAAAAAAAAAGGAAGGAAGGAAGGAAAGAAAAAAAGAAAGAAAAGAAAGAAAGAGAAAAAGAAAGAAAGAAAGAGAGAAAAAGACAGAAAGAAACTAATTATTTCTTAGTTATAATTAATTGAAGTATATTTTGTCCACTGATGTTATCTCCTGGGTATGGCAGCATAGGTGGAAAACATCCACATAACAATGGCTTAAACCAGATTGAAATTTGTTTCTCCAACAAAGGAAGTCTATATGTAGGCAGCTAAGGCCTGCATAGAACCTTAAAGGGTCACCAAATCCCCTTCAACTTTCTATTCTGCCATCCCTAATAATATGTTCCACATTCCAGGAGTTCAAGGTGGTAAACATAGCTACAGCTATAACATCTATGATACAAGAGACAAGAAAGAAGAAGAAAGAAAAGTGCCTCCTCTTGAGGAGACCTCTTAGAAGGTGACACATGATCTTTTGGCTTATATTTGCTGGCAGAACTTTTTCACGTGGCTGAATATAGCTGCAAGAGAGGCTAGAAGATGTCTTTAGCTGGGTCAACTCAAATTAGAGTCTTGTTGCTAGAAGGAAGGGGCTCTGAAGACTATAAGAAAGGGATTGCTATTTGCAGACTAGAATAGACAAGTAGCAATCTCTGCCGCAATCACCTTATTAAAAAAAAACACAAAATCTGTTTTAGAGAAAAGATACAGAATTTTGTTGTTTTTTCTACTGTGTCAGCCACTTGATATGCATTATGCATCAATCCTTGAGGTCACTTTCATTAGTCCATATGACAAAGTAAAAAAAAGTAAACCACAAGCAAGCTAAACACCTTGTTCCTATTTCTATAATTAGTAAACGTGGTGTAGAAGCCCATTTTCTTTCCACTATGCATCTTTATCTCTCTATTTATTTTTAAATTGTACTTTAAGTTCTGGGATACATGTGCAGGCTTGTTACATAGGTATACATGTGCCACATATACCATTTTTTTTTTTTGCTGCACCCATCAACCCATCATCTACATTAGGTATTTTTCCTAATGCTATCGCTCCCCTAGCCCCCCCATCCCCCAACAGGCCCCTGTGTGTGATGTTCCCCTCCTTGTGTCCATGTGTTCTCATTGTTCAGCCACCATTTATGAGTGAGAACATGCACTGTTTGGTTTTCTGTTCCTGTGTTAGTTTGCTGAAAATGATGGTTTCCAGCTTCATCCTTGTCCCTGCAAAGAACATGAACTCATCCTTTTTTATGGCTACATAGTATTCCATGGTGTATATGTTTCTTTATCCAGTCTCTCATTGATGAGCATTTGGGTTGGTTCCAAGTCTTTGCTATTGTGAATAGTGCTGCAATAAACATATGTATGTATGTGTCTTTATCGTAGAATTATTTATAATCCTTTGGCTATATACCCAGTACTGGATTGTTGGGTCAAATGGTATTTCTAGTTCTAGATCCTTGAGGAAACTCCACACTGTCTTCCACAATCACTGAACTAATTTACACTCTCACCAACAGTGTAAAAGTGTTCCTATTTCTCTACATCCTCTCCAGCATCTGTTGTTTCCTGAGTTTTTAATGATTACCATTCTAACTGGCATGAGATGGTATCTCACTGTGGTTTTGATTTGTATTTCTCTAATGACCAGTGATGATGAGCGTTTTCTCATCTGTTTGTTGGCCAGGTAAATGTCTTCTTTTGAGAAGTGTCTGTTCATATCCTTCACCCACTTTTTGATGGCGTTTTTTTTTTTGTTTTGTTTTGTTTTGTTTTCTTTTTTTTTCCTTGAGAATGTGTTTAAGTTCCTTGTAGATTCTGGATATTAGCCCTTTGTCAGATGAATAGATTGCAAAAAATTTCCTCCCATACTGTAGGTTAAATGTTCACTCTGATGATAGTTTCTTCTCCTTAGTTATTTTTAATGAAAAATTAGCCAAATAGAAAAAGAAATTGAGAAAAACTTAATTGTTTGGTGAAGAAAACAGGATTTAGGAAGCATATGCATGCATTCGTTTATTCATTCATTCAGGAAACATTAACGGTTCCTACATGTCTCCCTTTCTGTCTTCAAGTGGAGTTTTTTCCTTTTTAACTGAAGCCAAAATATCAATAAAGATCAGAATGTTTGAGTCAGAGGGGTTTGCAGATTATCTAGTCAGACCACCTCCTTAAAATGAAAATGAGGTCTGATATAATAATAAAATTACCATATTTTATTTCTCAAAAGAACAAGGGACAGGAAATAGATCTCTCTTTAAACTAGAATTTAAAAAAATATGTCCCAGGATCATGCGATACAAAATATATCACTGAGGGAGGTCATGAAATCTTAAATCCTGGATGTTTTTAAGAAATTGGAAAAGTATCAATTCTAGAGGATTTCCCATTTTCCTGGATCAGATAACTGCTTCAGACCAATTCCAGTTCTATGATACTAGGAATGCAGGGATTTTATTGGGATAAATGGTGCTGTTCTGCATCTGCAATGGGACTAAACGTCACTTGGGTTTAAACCAGGAATTTAAACCAGGGCTTACTGTGTTCAAGCACATGATTAGATATATTTTCAAATAGAAAAAGACTAAAATGGGTATTATTTCTTATCTTATTTATAACAAATAGATTTCTGAAAGTAAGAAAACTACATTATATGTGTAGAATTTCATTCATTGGGGAGCTTTTCTGCCTTCTCGCTTTCTCTGCTTGTCTCTGTTTTCAAGCATTTGATTATAAAGGCTTTATTTTACTATAGTTATCACAGTTATTCGATTTAGACAGAAGTTGATGATCCTGTGTGTAATTCCATGGCCCTGGGCATCCCGTTACTGTAGAAATCATCTCTGGAGTTGGCAATGTACCAAACTGACTTTCCACCAAGAAACGCAGAGCAGAGGTGGTAAAAGCAAACTGTCGCACTGGTAGAAGCAGCAGCTGCTCTCAAAGCAGCAGAAACAGTCTGCTGAAAGGTGGAAATTCAATCTCTATATTTATACTAGTGGGACATAAGCAGGGCTGTGCCAAACATAGAGCCACACTTTTCCCATTGTTCAAAATAGGGTGTGATACACAGATGCCATGATTGGTATCTAATTAATATGTTTTTAAGGAGTCCAATTCTATCCCGGTGTTCCTATTTATTCAATTCAGTTGTTTTTAATTGTTCTGGCATTGTTCTCTTCACTGAATAAAAATGAAAGGAAGGAAGGAAGGAAGGAAGGGAGGGAGGGAGGGAGGGAGGGAGGGAGGGAGGGAGAAAAGGTGGGTCAGGAATGAGAAAATGTTATAATGTTACCCCAAAACATAGTTCTTTGATATGAAGCAGCTCCAAGGTGTCTCTGATCTTCTCCCCCGACCCCGCCTGTCTCTCAATCCTCTGTTTCTCCCAAAGTATAGGATGAAGCTGTTCTCTGAAGTTTCCTTATCAATCTCCAAGCTGGAATTGCCAAAAAGAAACACAATGGCCTTTATTCCCCTCCCTGAAATGTCATTAACCAGAGAAGATTAAAATTCATATCACAGAGGAAGAGATTGAAAACTAAACACTACACTTGAAGCCCAGACAAACTTTATCCTAAACCATCGTCTGCTATTGGTCCTATCTAATATCCAAAGAAAGTTATTTACTAACCATTGTCTGGGCATTAGGCCCATTCAATTCCCTCTAAAAATCATTTATTATCCCTCTGATTGCCACATTTTCCCCATCTACACTTCCCCTGTGAAGAAGGGTGTATAAGCATCTGTACCTGATTGGGTTATTGGGTCATCCTATTCCTGTGATTTTCCTGGACCATAGAGGGTAAAATACATTTGTATGTTTATCTTTTTCTTCTAATTATCTGCCTTTGTCAGTTTTCAGTAAGACTTCAGAATGGGGAGGGGAAGTTTTCTTTTGGCCCCTATGGAAGAAAAAACAAAACAAGAAAGTAAGGAAGGAAATAAGAAAGGAGAAAAGAAAAAGGAAGGACAGAAGAACTACCAAAACGTGTAACTTGGCTTTTTCATATGATGCATTTTTACTGAAGTGAATACTTTTGTTTATCTTCCTTAAAACTGTTAATTAAAAACCTTCCTCCATAGCTAGAATCACACAGGAAATAAAAGTGGGTGTGCATCTAAACAGAGGACTGCTACCTTGAATTTTGTAGACAAAAGTGGTCCCCTCAAGTTATTCTCACTTGTTGAGGGAACTTGAAGGGACAGTGAGATGACCTTCTTCTCACTATGCTCTCAGTTTGACTTTCCTGTTTCCCATCTTCCTGCCTTCAGGGCAAGTGCAGAAAGATGGTTGGGACCATTGGCAATGCCAAATAACAAGAGTCCCAGTTTAACATGTGAATTTATGACAGGTGACATCAGCTTATAAAATCTGTGTTTGTTATTTTCAAATCACACTCATCAAGAAAGATATTAGTATCACAAGACATTGAAAAAAGTATATTTGATCCATTTAAAATAGGAAAAAAATGCAATCCAGGCATTTTTGTAAACATTCCTTTCAAATTTGGTAAAATGCTTTGAACCCATGTCTTGAGATGAAAAAACTGAAAGCTACTTTTTCATCTTAGATGAGTAATAAAATATGGCAGTTAAGTAAGCTGCTGATATTTATTTTAATTCTGGTCTAATATTGTCGGGTACAAAACAAAGATGGTAAAAATTGACAGAAGGTTTATGTACCTTACCACCTTCTCCCAGTTACTTCTGAGGAAAGTTGGATGTTCCCAAAGCCCTTATCATTTTTCCTCACTTCCTAAGAAAAGGCAGAATCCCTCTTTCACGAGGTCAACATTCTGAGGCTTCACAAGACCTCTACTTTTAACATGTTTGCTTTTATATTTTGGGAAAAAAAATGCTACACAAAATAAAATATTGAACCACTCTCCAACCTCCTTACTTTTCTGTTTCTTCCCTTGCATTTTATCCCTTTGGATTAAGTAGGCAAAAACATTAGGGAGATGGTGTTACCCAACTGAAAGGAAAGCTAATGGGGAATACGATCTCATATTACCAGAGGTTAGCAAAGAGCTACTTTAATATGACAGCTAATATAACTCATTTATGTGATTACTCAAAAAGAAGAATGCCATTGGTGTCTAGTTACATCCCAGTGGTTACAATTAGATAGGCCAGATGGATGGAGTCCAGTGAGACAAGCTGACAAACCTGCAGACAGGTCAGCAGGGACATGACTGGGGCAAGGTGGACTTCATGAATCAGGCAAAAGAAAAGTTGCCCTAATTAATTGTAGGCTTTTTAATCCTGAGGTTCTTAAATAAAATTTAGAGAAAAAGGACTAGCTTTGAGGTCTATTTGCCAACTCCAAGCCAAGCATTTTGAATAAGCAGTTTTCTGTAATGGATGATGACTATTGACTATTAAAGTCATCTTAGGTTGACTTTTAAAATAATACACTTGAAAGCCAAAGCCTCCTAAGAAAAGTAGGTTACTATCCTTTGAGCAAGTCCGTGGTTATAAAATTACTTTGCTTCCATCAGCAAACATAATGTGGTCAGAGATACAGAGAATGGTAGGGCCAAAAGGGATCTTAAGCTTCAACTTGTCTGAACTCTTTATTATACATATTAGACAATCCCATCAGCTGGGGTCCCATCAGGAAATAAAAGGTACATTTGAAAAGTTTAATTAAATAGAGTCTTTTGAAGGGACTATTTACTGAGATCTGGGCAGAGTTAGGGATGTTGAAGCTCTCTGGGACCAGCCACAGTAGAAAGTTCTTACCACCCCTCAGCTGAAGGAGAAAAACAGGGAGCTAGAACCTGGCAAGAGCTGAAGCTGTGGGCAGGAGTCACCTAACAGAAGTGCAGACATAGAGGAACAAGCCACTGCCACTCCACAGTCCTGCAGAGAGGGAGTACGGTATGTGCATGTGTGTGTGTGCACGCGCGCAGTTGCACGCACCCGCACACGTGCACGTGTGTCTGTGTATGTATATGCAAATGTAAGGGGGTGGTATCTCCCCAACTTTCTTCCTCAAACCCTCTGATCTCTTGTTGGTGAACTCCCTTCCACCAAACCCAAGGAGAAGCAAAAGAATAAGGAAGGTACCACAAAGATCAGTTCCTAGGTTCAGAGCAGGGCAGAGCAGGGAGGAGAATAAAGCTGGTGAAAGATCAACAGAGAATCACCAGCGCAGAAGCTGCAGCCAGAGACGAGAAATGATTCCCAAAGGCTAATTGGTGTAGGGCTAGGACTGGGATCTGGCCTTTGGATTCTCAAACATGGAAGCTTTTTACATTTTAATCACCAGGCTTTCCAAGACTAAAAATGAGTTTCAAAAAATATCAGATACTCTCCTTTGGGAAGCTCTTCCTGAATGTAGCAAATCTGGGAAAAGCCTGGCTTCTCTAACGGCAGATGTTTGAAGCTCAGGGTTGAGAGGACTGTGGGGTGTGAGCTCCTCAGACCCCAGAGCCTCTACAGCAGCTGACCCAGCAGAGCCAAGCACATGGTGGCTGTCAGCAGCATGTGGGTGTACGTGTCAAGTTATAGATGAATGAAACTGTCTTTACAAACCACCCACCAGGATTGCGATCTCCAAACAAGCATTGTGCCCTTCTTTCTGTGTGGCTGTATGGGAGACCAACTGATTCCGCTATTGCTCAGGTCACTTTTGAACTTCTCCTTAGAGATGATCTTTGGAGCCAATCTATGTGTCAGAAAAAACTCAGTGTCTCAAGAGGTTACTCATCAGCTGTATTGTTTTTACTTTTGCTTGATTTTCTAGCCAACTTTTATATCGTTTATCAAACTTGACTTGATACAAAATATGATAGAGTCCAAATATCAAAACCACTCTCAGAATACAAAGATTTATCACACTTGAAATGTATCAAAAACATAACAGCAAGCTCAAAAGTAGTATATTAGTTACAGTTCTCCAGAAAACAGAACCAATATGAGATATAAAGTGAGAAATTGGCTTATGTGATTACAGAGGCTGAGAGGTACCGCAATCTGCTGTCTGCACACTACAGATTCAGAAAAGTTGGTGATATAATTTAGTCCAAGTTCTAAGGTCTGAGACCTGGGGAGCTGATGGTGTAAATCCCAGTCAGAAGGCAAGGGAAGATGAGAGGAGATGTTCCAGCTCAAGTGGTGGGGAAAAAAAAGGAGCAAATTCTTCCTTCCTCCATCTTTTTATTCTGTTTAGGCCCTCCACAGATTGGACAATGCTCCCCTCTTACACATACACACACACCACACATACACACTCTTTGGAAGGCCAATCTGTTTCACAGAGTCCACTGATTCAAATGCTGGTCTCATCCAGAAACACCTTCATAGACACACTCAGAAATAACGTTTAATCTGGATACCCCATGGCCTAGTCAAGTTGACACATGAAATTAACCATCATAAGCAATGCACCAAGTGGGAGCTCAAAAGTTGTTGAACAATGGCAGCGTTTTGAGAATAATTAAACAATTGTCTCTTAAAGTGTCAGAGTTGGGATAGGCAAGGTTTATTTGAATATGGTCAGCCTCATACTGTCTTTGAAAAGATATCACTTAATATTAGGTAATATGTGAATTGGCAACATTTATCAGAGAAAAGAATTATAGCTATGTAAAATATTATACATGCACTTTTGAGAAGTAGAATTATGAGTGATGTTACAGGATTTTCTTATTTGGAAATGTCTGTTATTGTTACAATTGTCTATGCATTACAGATACTCCTCAACATAAGATAGGGCTACTTCATCTGATGCTGAAAATATCCTAAGTCAAAAATGCACTTTTGACTTAGGACATGTTCAACACATGATGGGCTTATCCAGACATTGTCTCATCATAAGTCAAGGAGCATACAGAATGCTATGGGAAAAAAATCATAAGTTGAATTATTGTAAGTTGGAAACCATGTGTATTTATAATTATAAAACTGTAAAATAAAGACACATTGTTTTATGGAGATATTTTATAAATGCAATGAAAGGAGATGAAACACAGAAAGAAATGCGACCACATGGACATAGCATATGTGTATAAGCTGCACATGTAATGCTTGTACTTTGCTCAAATATAGACATATCCTATTCTCACTGATTTGAGAAAAAGAAAATATGGCATGTATTTTGCTTTTAATACATCCCCCCACCCTCCTTATGAAACAATGGAGAAAAAGATGCTTGAGATCTTTGTTTTTGTTTTTTGAGAGGGAGTCTCACTCTGTTGCGTAGGCTAGAGCACAGTGGCACAATCTCGGCTCACTGCAACCTCCGCTTCCCGGGTTCAAATGATTCTCCTGCCTCAACCCCCCAAGTAGCTGGAACTACAGGCATGCACCAATATGCCTGGCTAATTTTTGTATATTTAGTAAAGACAGGGTTTCACCATGTTGGCCAAGCTGGTCTTGAACTCCTGACCTCAGGCGATCCCACTTCGGCCTCCCAAAGTGTTGGGATTACAGGCGTGAGCCATTGTGCCCCGCCGAGATCTTTGTAAAGGGTTCTTGCACACTGAGAACAGATTACAGAAAAGATGATTTGGAAGAGAGAATAAATGGAAAAGTTGAAATGGACATTGATTAAACTTTGACACAGGATTCAACATGTAGTCATGGTCCCTGGAAACCCAATAAATTTGATAGTATTTATTATTTAGTACATTTTCCTTATTACTACATGTTGATTTTTGTCAACATCAGGCATATCTGCTTTGTAGAATAATAATTATTACCATATGCATAAAGTTTAGAATTTTAGAAAATAGGTGATGGGATGTAGGGAACACAAAAGGAAAGCAGAAAAATGATTTTAATGTTACTTAAGAGATACTTCTTGATTTCTTAAATGTAACCACATTTACTCGTTTGGGGAGGGAGGAGGTGAGAGATCTATACTGCAGTTTTATCATCTGTCTCCAGCAAGTTTTGCACTTCATTAAATTGCTTAGGGTTGTACTAGCAATCCCTCCAACACGTAACTCAGAGATGTGGATATTGGTTTTATTGTTTTCTCATTTCCAAAGAAAAAATAGTGTTTGTTAAGTTTAATGTATTTGCTTTCCTTCTATAAGGAGATGCTGCTGGGGTTTTTGGTTTTTCATTTTTGGATTTTTTGTGTGTTTTAGAATCTTACTGGTTTCTTTTAAAGACCATGTGTAGCCTGACCTCCTAACTCAAACATTTGGACAGTATACATAATTGAAACATCCAGTGCCCCCTTAGTAGCCAGATTAACGCAAATCAAATCCCTATTTACGGTGCAAATGTAGAAATACCAGTTAAAGCCAATAATTCAATGTGACCCTCTGCCAAGACATCCTGTAACCTGTTCTGTGTCAGTCCTTCATTCTTCCTCACTTACATAGAGCTGCTGGAGCTTGAGCACTGGAACACGTAGTTCAGTGAGAAGAGGTTTGCTACAATAACCTTAAGTGTAGCTCATACCTACATGATATCAAGTAGGAAAACATGAATGTGTTTAATAATTAAATTTCGGGTGATAAATCATTGGCAGATATCGACATTGACTTTTGAAAAGCAAATGTAAATGCTCATTTCTGATTGAACAGATTACGCGGACCATGGCCATGGCATGGAGGAATAGGGGGAGGAGAAGTGTGCATGGCTCCATGCTGGCCATACCTGGGTCTAATCCTGAAACCACTGCTCACTAACTAAGTGCTCTGGAGCACATAATTCCTATGAGCCTGATTTTCTTCATCCTTAAGTATGGGAATAATAATAACATCATAATAACCCAGGGACACTATGAGGCTCAAACAAGATAGTTCATGTAAATTGCCTAGTGCATAACTATTTTTGAATAAATAATAAACATTGTTTCTGTTCTTTTAGGTTTCAGGATTAACTAAGTTACTACGCACACAGAAAATTTGCCCAACTAGTTTTCCAACTGGGTTTCTCAGCTACTACCTGGACCACTATTGCTACAACCTGCTTAGAACTCATTTTGATATTTTCTGTATTTCAGGGCAAGCTGAGTACAGGGAAACTCAATTGTCTTTTAGAATGATATTAAAAGTTATCAGCAGCTTCCAAAATGTGGGTGCAGATAAAACCAAAATAATGAAACCCCTGAGAGCATCTGGGTGGAGGTGTGTGTCCAGGATAGGATCCAGTTCTCGGGGGTGGGGATGGGGGGCGGAGGGGCTGTAAAACCATTCAGTGCTTTCTCCCTAGGAAGGCTATGCCCATGGCACTAGCTGGACCAAAATCTAGGGGACACAAGAGCTGGCCTGGAGATGGTCATTCAGAAATCATCTAGGTTAGGATGAAGCCATGAGAGAGGTATTACCTTCTTGGAGGATGAACATGTTCTGGGAAAGAGGCAGAGAACTAAATCTACCCCTGGGATTTTCACAATTAAGTAGCTCAATTCACCATCTTCCATTTTGAGTTGCCTACTATGTCACACATTTCCCAGGCATTAAAGCCTGGATATTCCCGTATGGGAAGTGTATTACCAATATACATGTGAATAAAAGCTCTCATCACTCTTTGATATAACACATTTTTGTGTTCAAAAAGGAATTTGATGAGTTATTGAACAAAACCTCAGAATGGTTTTCAAAGGCCTAGGACTTGGATCCCTTCACTGCTATCTTCTAGCCATGGACGGTCAGGCAGTGGTTGACATCCTGAGCCTCAGTTTTCTTATCTAGTTTCTTATCTCCCCATATGAGGTCATGACGATTACATAAATTAACATAAACTGAAGTGCATTGAGCTTAATAGGCACTCAATAAATGTATAATAACGTTGATAAGTCAGGTCTTATGCCCTGCCCATTGATGGAAAATGCTGATGACAATAATGATATCCTGTACTTGAACTGTCAGCTCGGGTACTTTGTGTGAGAGAGCAAACCAAAACAACAGGCAAAGAAACTAACCGTCCAGCTAACTAGCTAACTGCTTAAAAACCTGGCTTTTGCCCGCTTCTCCCAGAGCCTGTATTTGTGCCCACACACCCAACACTCTTATCACTGGTGGCTTCTTCTTTTGCATGGCTCTACATCCAAATCTCCTTCACGTGGGTGGGAGATTTATTTATTATGTCTGTTTCTCAAAAGTTCAGAAACAATCTGAATACATATCCATGACCTCTTCTGATTTGTTAATAAATAAATGCATATTAAGGGCCCTTAACTTTGCATATTGAGGGCCAATTCTTTGTCTTCGCTGAGAACGAAGTTTGCCCTTGATATGCATTTATTTATGAGACAGGGCCACAGTGGGGGAGCCTATAGATGCTGAATAGCATTTGAGCACACATCCAAAGTGAGTTAAACACAGATGATGCTGACTGAGATGGGACGAGGTGCTCTCTATGGCAGTGTTCAGGAGGCTTCTGTTCCACTGGATAAACTTATGAAGAGTCTCTCTTGCCAGGTCAGCTTTAAAGAAAAGCAAAGTCTCAGTGCATGGTATTGCTTTAAAAACAGGTTCACTCTGCATCCTGGGTCTCTGGCTTCTAGACAGTCCCAAGAAGATGGAATCAAACTTCAAGAACAGTCTTTCGTGTTCCACAAATTAGAGACGACAGCTTGGTTCCTTGGTTTTCTATCTTTCCTAGAGAAATTCTTGTGTCTTCCACATGTTTTCCATATAGCAAAATTTAGCCACTTACTTTATTTCCATCTCTATCCCCATACTGGATTTTACTGCTGTCACTTCATTATTAAATCACTGTGGAGTTTGCTACATTAGAGCTAAGGAGGAAATGGATTACAATATATAGGACAGCCTTGTAATTTCCAACAGAAGCTGTCTCAATGAACACATTGTTTCATTTTATTTCTCTGGAAAGATCACATATTATAGTCACTATTCACAGTATACTGTGTAAAATGATCTTTGTTTGTTTTCTACAATAGATACTGTGTCATTTAATTAATTTAGACTAAAGAAGAGCAATCAACATTCAGTAACAACATTCCCTTAGAGAATATAAAAGAAAAATTTTCCA